GAGAGAAGCCCGAGTAACACACATACTTGTGTGTTACAGCCCATCCATGAGTTATCCGGAGAAAGGCACAGACTGGGCTATTCAGTATAGTAGAGCTGAGGGGTTTATTAACCATGAAGAAACACACAACAACATTATGGCACCAAGTAATAGCTGGCAAATTTAATATAGAGAGTGTAAAATGCTACACAGGGGAAAATGCAATCCCTGCTCTGCCAGCTATGACAGATTCCCAAGGGGCTGCTCATTCACAGTCCCGTGAAAATACAGGCTCAGTACGGCATCTGAACAGAAAATTAAGATATTAACTATGGAAAAAATAATAACCAGAGGGTAAAATATAGAGTGCCACACCACCACCACGCAGCGCATGCATGTTTTGAGTAACACGTCAGCTTGGTGAGCACTGTGTGTGTGCTGGGACTGGAGATGGTGACCATGGGTGAGGTGGGACAGCAGGAACTCAGAACTTGCCCGGGAAGGGCCATGGAGCTGGTGAAGGGTCTGGAGCACAAGGCTGTGAGGAGCGGCTGAGGGAGCTGGGGGTGCTCGCCCGGAGAAAGGGAGGCTCAGGGAGACCTTACCACTCCCTACAAGCCCCTGAAAGGAGGCTGCAGTGAGGCCTCTTCTTGGGCTCTTTTCCCAGGTAACAAGTGACAGGACGAGATAATGTCAAGCTGTGCCAGGGAAGGTTTAGGTTGGACATTAGGAAGAAGTTTTTCACAGAACGGGTGATTAGACATTGGAATAAATGCCCAGGGAGGTGGTTAAGGTAAGACCGGACATGGCACTCAGTGCAATGGTTTAGTTGACAAGGTGATGTTCGGTCACAGGTTGAACTCGACGATGTCTCAAGTCTTTCCCAAATTAACTGATGCTGTGATTCTGTGAGCTCGCAGCGCCGTGCCCGTGAGCGGCTCCCTGGGGCGGCTGCGGGGAGCGGGGCCCCGGCGGCGCCTCCCCACAACACCGCGAGATGGCGCCGCGGGCCCGGGAGCGCCGGGCGGAAGCGGCGGGGAGGGCGCGCTCGGCCCCGCCGGAACGGAGCGAGGCTGCGCTGGAGGCGGCTTGGCGCGGCTTTCCTTACCCGCCGGAGCCCCTGGCTGCCCGGGTGGGTGCGGGGATGGCGGTGCCCCGCGCAGGCCGCGGCCCGGACCTCCCGCAAGAGGAGACCGGGCTGAGGGCGGTGGCAGCCGAAGCGAAAGGGCGGCGGGAGCGGGAAAGCGAAGGGCTCAGGAGGGAGATGTGGGAGCCCGGGCGCCTGGCGGGGCCGAGGGCGGTGATTGTGGCACCGGGCGGTGGCTGTGGCAGCGCTACGGGCGCGGGGCTTTGCCGTTTCTCTGCAGTTTATGGGCCCGCGGCCTGAGGCGGCCATGAACGAGCCCGGCGCTCTGTGCGCTGGGGGCAGCCGGGGCACAAGGCCTGTGCTCCTGCCAGCCCTTGGATGGAATTGTGTGCCCTGTTTGCTGAGACAGGAGCTGCTCATCGCTCCTGCCAGCCTTTCAGTCACTTGCCGGAGTCTGGGCACGACATCTGTGAGACCATGAAATTACTTACACTTTGAAAAGCTGTACTGTAGAAGTTCCATCCTGTTCCTTGTTTATGACTAAATTGACCAGATATATATGAAACATAAGCTACTGATAATTATACATCTTTTAGCAATTTATTTCTTCCCTCTGGTTTTTGGCTGAACTAGCTTTTGGGTTTATGTCCTGGAGCTCAGAGAATAAAGACGCTTTTTTGAGGAGCCACAGTGGATCACACTGCCTCGGCTTCTGATAGGGCCAAAAGATCTCTAAGACATGCTAAAGTTTGAGAACATTATTTTGCAAAAGTTTGAGAACATTATTTTGCAGTATGCTAATTTGTTTCCCTTCCATTCACAGGAGTTGCTGCTGTTGTTTTAAGGACGTTGGACATCATAGTGATAGGTGGGTTTTCACAGCACTCCTGTTGGGATGAGAAACAGCTGTAACTGTATCCTAAGTGCTGGACAAGTCTTGTATTTAGTCATTCACAAACCAGAATGCAGTGTATAGCGTTGAGAGTTTTTACCTCTTCTTTTGAAGAGAAATAATTTTTGCTGCTAACTGTCCCAGCAATCACGGGCTTGTGTTTCTGCGTGACTGTAACTAGGGCACTTTGGTATTAAAGTAAACGTCACAGCAATGCACAGTGGTAATCTGAAGCACAGAATGTCAGACCACTTTTTAGACATTTCCCTCTTCTGGTGGTAATTCTGCATCAGAGTAAGCACCAGAAGTATAAAATGAAATTGTGTTAATGGGAGGATGTACTCTATTTATGTTATGTTCACATTTTTTTAGCTAGTATGTACTAAGGTGAGTTCAAAATATACAGCACAAAATTATGTTTAATCCCTTAAACTGCGAAGCTTACTGCCAAGGAGTTTATTGGAAACACCTATCACTCATAGGGATTTTGGCTTTAAATGCCAAAACCAGTTTGGAGATAAAAAAGTGTCTGAACTACCACTTGTTGAAATCAGGAGGAATGTACTGGAAAAGTAATTCCTCTATTAATAATGTCACATTTTCCTGGGTATCTCATACTAACCATTGCCAGAAACTGGAAAATGAGTTAGGGCAGCTCTGGCCTTGACTGAGGACACTTCCTACAGCAGGGACAAAAGCAGCAGTGGGCACAGGGGCTGCTCAGTTGTCTATTGTTAGGGGCATTTCCAATTCAAATGTAGTTGGCTTTTTCATGAAAGCTTTGTATAAATGTGTTTTGTTGAAACCTGCTGAATTTATTGAAATTCAGCCTTCCTTGAATAACATAAGATGTTTTTACCATAGTATCATGCAAGAGGTTAGTTAATCTTGTGTCGATGGATATTGTGAATAGTGGAACCCTCACTGATCCTGCTCTAGCCTTGGAGTTGTCCCTGTTTCCTCTGTGTGGCAATGTTGTATCCAGCACACCACTAGTCCCAGAGTGGTCCCACAGTGGGATTTACTTACCAAGTTATAAACCCCAGTGCACTGAGCTTGTGTCTGTGGTATGACAGACATTGTATTAATTTCTTTTGATTCCAAGGGAATTAAATGCTGTCATTGCTTCAATCAGACTTGTTTATTTTCTCTAATGTTCACCTGCCTTAAGCTGGTAAGGGGGACAGACATATTTTGAGCAAAGGAGGTACATCCCTGGTTCATTATCAGTGGAGAAATATTTTAAAACTGGGAGAAGGAAGTAGAAAATAATTCCATCATTGATGATCAGTGTAAGCAAACAAATCTCTTTCCCATTTTAAATTGCACATTTTGCTGGTGAGTTTTGTATGTTCATTTGGTCGACATTTCGTTTTTAAGTATAAATTACAGACATAGAACTATTACATTTATTTTTTCTGCAGCTTGTGATGTTTCATATTTTATGTAGTTTGTTTTGGAAGAGTAATTCAACTGAACATAAACTAATTTTTTAATTTAGTGCCCTTGCTTGCAGCATTTTTATGCTCTGTTTTATATTTGTAGTCTAATGTTTCATAAATAATTTATGAAAATAATTAAAGTTTCTGTATTTGGCAAAACAGGTTTTTCATATTTGGTAAACTAATATAGTTGGATGGTTTTGCCAGGGTTTTTCCCCTCCTTGTCTTTTAGAAAGCATATGTACATGCTGTGTGTTAATAATAAAGTATCAGACTTTACCAATTACTGCTTTAAAAATTATTTACATTGAGGTCAGTCTTGATTTCTGTTTATTCTGAAGCTGTTTCAAAGAAATTTTTGTCATGTAGGAATTAGAATGGACATGAAAATTAAACACACCTACTTTTCTAAAGTGGAAAATTAAAGAACTGGCTATCGTGGGCTTAGGTTTTTTAAGTATTAGAAAAAGATGTTATGGCAACCTTGACAGTATCCAGATGTATCTGGGAAAGATATATACGGGAAAGAGACAAAAAGTACACGTGCACATCATGAGAGTGGAGGTGAAAGTTTTGAAGAAAGCAGTGGTTGGAAATGAGATGTTTAAAATGCACAGAGGGATGACACAGTAATTTTTATGTATGCATGGGTTTTGAGTTACAAGTAGCTGCAGTGTTTTGCAGGGATCTTAGTGCTGGGTTTTCTTCTTTCTCCAAGCAGGCAGGAGAGAATCCAGTGGCTCTCATGTTTTAGTTGCCTAATGCCTGCCTCTGCAGCCCTTGCTGGCATGAATTGTTCCATCAACTGCAGTGGAGTGCTGCTGTATGTAGAGCTTCTTGCAGACAGATGGGTGTTACCAGGGGTGTATGGTTTTGAACTTAGTGTGGCCTTTGGAAAGGGCAGTCATTTGCTTTTGTGATTGCTGCATGATTTGCATTTTGTTTGACCATTCCGTTCTCCTTTCATGCAGTATGGTTTGTCTTAAGTGACAAAAATTGCTCTTTAATCAGTATTGTTAAATATGAAGCAGAGCACAACTGGTCTATGTACTGTGTTCATATGCATTTTGAAAAACCCTGGCTTTATCCTGGTATAAATCTACAACGTTTTAAGTGCTGTCTTGGCTATATTCCAGTGTTTCTGGGAATAGCATTTGACCATACCTTAAGAGTAGCAATAAGTAGTTTAGTGTACTCTATTTCTTTTACCTTTCACTGGCACCTAAAATAAAGTTCAGGCTGAGGGTGAGAATATCAGGAGAAATATGTGAATGAAGCAGCTAACCTACTAGTGTACTAAATAAATAAAATAATATGTAATAAATAATAAAATAATTGTCAGATAAGGGGAGATAAAGAATATTTCTCAATGATATCTACTGGTAAACCACACTGGAAATGTTGATAATTATAAATCCTGCCTGGGGATTATAGAGCTCTTGTTCTCTCTTTCTACCCCCACAACCATTTTTTTCTTTTTTATTCTTTTCCTGTCCAGTTGCCCCTCTCCCTTATGCCTTTTCCTCACATTTAAAAAATGTGGTTGCAACTTGAACTGACCTGTGTTTTCTTCATGGGAGGTAGGATCAGATGCTGGAGGGAGGAAAAAAAAAAAAAAGAGAGAAGCAAAGAGAATGAAGGGACTATATGTGGTCAAAAGTGCAGCCTAGGTTAAACAGAAATCTCACTGCATGAGTGGAATCAGGATGGGTTTAATCATTTTATGGCAATTGCTTATTATATACAAGTTCGTGTGCAGACACAGCTAAAAAGTGAGAACAATTTGTGTGGCATTAATTTGGAGAATAAAAGTTGTGGAAGCATGAAGAAAGAGAAGACCAATGGGAGAAATGTTCAGTTCCAGCGTTTCAGGCTACATTTTGTAGAACTGTCCCTTTTAACTTTCTTACTGTAGTGGGGAATTTTATGGAATGGGATGTTTACTGCTGCTTATCAAAATCTATCAGTAAGAGACTTCAACTTGACCCAGCAGAGAAGGGATGCTTAACAGCTGTAGGTCATAGTACTCAAATATAACAAAAAATATATTCAGTGCCTGTGACCACCTTAATACATATATTTTTATGAATTAAAAAGCTGCTCTTTTCTTTTCTAGTTTCCCTTGATCATCATCAGAAAAAACTGAAGAGATGGTAAGAGGTCTTCACGGGTTTCTATGTGATAGCTGAGTCATATTTTATATATAAAATGCATATAAACACTTCTATTGAACTGTGAGTGCAGACATGTAAAAATTAGATGTAAAAGTCACTAAATTGCTTTGAAAATAGAATTCAGATTACAACAATGAGTGATTTGTCTGCTCCTGGGAGGACTCCAGAGAAATAACAGGAGAATAACAGAGGACTGATCATTTGCCTTAGATTTATAGCTTTTGTTTCCTTGCGGAAATCTCTTATTTCCATTTATTCCACAGCTGAAAAAGCACAGACACAGAATTATGTGAGACTGAAAGTGTTCCTTTCCCTTTTCCACCCAAATGTAAAACATTTCTGTAATTTCTTTTTTAACAGATGTATTTTTAAAATTCAAATGTAAGAGTGGTTTTCAAGAGTTGCTTTCAACAAAAAAAACCCTCACAAAAAGTAGTTGGACAAGCACCAGCATCACAGTTCTGTCTGCATGAACTGTTTTTTTGTCTTCTTTTCCCTTAAATTAACAACTGGAGCTAGTCAGCCAGACAAATCATCCAGCTTGATTCCAGAGCTTTCAGTAAAGTCATCAAGTTCCTTTTTAGAAACATTTTATAAGAGCTGGAGATAATTTTTGAGCTTTTAAATAATATATTGTCTTTTTTGCAGATATATAGAATGTAGGAGATACCCGCTTTAGTCAAGCTTCATAGTCTTTCAAAACTGGATTTCAGAGTATTTTAATATTTAAGGAAAAAAATAGGCAAATGTTTTAAAAGTAACTTGCTATATGACATTCTTAAGCAAAGGGAAACAGTAAATAAAACATCGTTCATCCTGGCTGTTAGGTAGTTGGATGATTAAGGATGAAGAAATTCCATATGGAAGGCAGATGCTTTCCCTCTACCCACTCGTTTTAGGAATGATGCATTTTGGGAACTCCAAGTACATGGTCTTGTAGCAGTGCAGTGTTAGACCAAGAGGAAAATAGCAGTCAAGTTTCATGGACATTAATTCTTTCTTTTCAGGAAAGATAAATTGTCTGCACTTTCAAATCACATAGCTGAGCTACACAGCCCTTCATAAATAGGCTGCAGTTTTTGATCCTTAAGGAATGCAATTTTGTTGTGGAGAGTTTTCATTATGTACTCTATTGGCTGAAGATATTTTGTTTCTGAGAGCACTTAGCAATGACCTTAAAAAGATATAGCATTGATCTCTTACAGAATAATAGGCTCAATTTTCCAGAAAGAAGCCATGAGAGTTGCAATTATTATTCCAAACTCATTAGCATTTGCTTTATTGTCTGAGAACCATGAAGTGAAAACAAATGTAAGTAAAGTAAATAAACCTTTCTGGATAGTGTTGAATGGGAAGTATTTTTTAGGTTTGAGTTTTCTGCTTTGCCTTGAGATTTCTTTTCTCCAGAGAATCGTTATTTTAAGGGTACCAAATAGTGCCAGTGCAGATCAAGAAAACAGGCTTAAAAGATTTTTGTCTTGAATGTCCTTAAAAAAAAAAAAACAGAAAAGAATGCGCCTTAATAAAGGACTGTAAATGTCACATTCATCTCTGGTCAGCTAGTTTTGCCAGATAAAAGATTTTCTATGGAAATTAAGACGTGAGGGAAAGGGAGAAAATAGTTGCTATTTGGTTTAGTTGTTTTAGGCTCTAGTCTACTTTATGGCTTTCTTTTTAAGATCCTCTATTATCCTGCTTTTTTCGAGTAGGATGAGGGTGGAGATGAAATGGCTTGTGTGAAGGGAGCTTAAGGCTACAGGGACTATGGGGCTTTGTAGTTTCTCATGAAATCTGAACAGCATGATAGTTCTTTAAGAAAAATTAAGATTAGCTGGAAGACAGGAGAAGGTGTGTTACACTATGTTTCTTCCCATGGAATTGTTTTTCTCTGTACTTTATCAGTGGCACTTTATTGCATCTTTTCATTTTTTGGTTGGTGATGAATGCAAAAGGGAGATTTACTGGCAGCTTGCATTTGGCTAAATACAGTCTTGTTTTTGATTGTGGCCATGGTAGATATATGAACTTGTCTGAATTGCTGTTTGACCTTTTCTGAGAAAGTTTGGCAGGCAGATGGAGGAAGTACATTACTGGAGGAAATATGTTACTGGATAAAATGAATGCACTTTTTTTAATGCAGAGGAATTTTAATCTCTTGTGTTTTCTGTCTGTGGATTTGGAAATCAGGTATAGGTTTTAATATCTATACCTTGGAATTATTCAGTTCTTACAACTCCTGAATGTCTAAGGAATTGTGGAATATATCCACACAACATATTTCCTAAAAATAACTGATTCCCACTGTAGTAGCATGAACACTTGGAAAATACCTTCTGGACACTAGAACTTCTCTGTTTCTAGTTCTTCAGTGGTAGTTGTGTTGATGCCTAAACAATCTCTTGTAGGAGTGATGAGGTGTGGCACAAGTGCACTGTGCTCATACATGTTATTTTTCTAATCTCCATGTGCTATCATAGCTAAAGGATGACAGAAGATTAAAAGGCAATGTTGTGCTTGCATTTAGTTGCTCCCCTCAATTATTCTTTGTTTCTCTCTCTCTTTATACCTTCTTTTTTGGGGGAGGGGCTGGGCATTAGTGCTGTGGTGTGTGGTTGATTTTTTTGGTGTTCTTTCCCTCTCCCCATGTGTTTTGGCCACAGGAGGACACCAAGCCGTGGTACTGTCAGAAAGTGTACGCGAGGTACTGGAGGCACTATGACTTAGCCATGCGCTGGATGCACAGGCACCAGAAAGCCTACAGGAAAGCCATGGAGTGCTTTTATCATCTGCCATGGCATCCATGGCATCCTGCTGCAGCCTCTCCAAGCAGCCACTACTCAGATTGGGATGGGAATGATCTCCCACATACCCAAAACTATTCTGCCTGCTATAGACCAGATGTCAGAGTTCCGTATCATGGGGGAGCTCAGCAGCACGCAGATGCCTACCAGGAGAGGGAGGATGCTGATGAGGACTCCGAAATGGAAGAGGATGCTGAAAGGGACTCTGAATGGGATGCTGAAATGGAGGAAGACTCTGAGTCTGAAGGGGAGATAGAATATGACTTGAGTAACATGGAGATCACAGAGGAGCTTCGCCAGTTTTTTGCAGAGACAGAGAGGCACCGAGAAGAGCTGCGTAAGTCTGTGCTTGTTTTGTGTTTTGTGATATTTGGTGGCCATAACATTGAGTGCTGGATGGCTTCAACATTTATGGGTTTTGTAAGAATTCACAGAAACAGGCCCTGCAAGTGAGCAAATCAATTGACTGAAATAGGCAGAACTGATGAGTGCACTTAAGTACTCATTAGAAATAAGTTTCAGAACATCTTTGAAAGCTTTTGGTGAGAGAGAGAAAATTATGACTGCCAAGAGGAGAATAACACTTTTGTCCAGAAGACAATATTAGTCTTCAGTGCTGAGGAAAAAAAACTCCAGAATTTTTGTGGTTAAATCTAGTTAATGTGTTGTTTATCTGAGGGGGGAGCCCACAGGAAATGCTTGACTCCATCACTGAAGCATGGAGTAAGCCTCAAGTATTTTATAACACAGAGTAGCCATTTTATTTGTTATTCTTTGGCTAACCTGACAGTAAAATTTCATTACTCTTTTCTTCTCCCCCTGCATCCTCTTCATTCTTTACCACAGGTTTCTGTTTGTTTTTGCATCTTGATCTGGACCTAAGTCCTTTGGTAGGGAATGTAAGCCAAAGTGTTATGATTTTTCTCAGGTCTTGATCCTCAGAGGTATTGGCCGTTTTTGTTTCTCTGAAATCCTTAAAAGAAGTAAAGGATTATGCTGCACTTTATTGACACTTCACTCATATAGATGTTGCAGATAAATTGATCTGTTTTAAGAAAGCAATATGATAAAAATAACTTTACTCACATGACTCCAGTAGAAAATACCCATAATGAATATTTAATAGAGCTTTCTCTGGTTTTCTGAAAGAGAAGATAGTCTAAAAACTTATAATAAAGGCAATGACTGGAAGGGAAGGAAAAAGTGGTTTATGTTCTTTGATCAGCAGGTATCAGAGGGTGCACTGAAACAACTCAGCTTAACTTCACACTTCTCATCTGTGTGATGCACAGTTGATCTAGTTAGCAGAGGGAGGTGAGTTAAGGAGTTCTGTGGTAGTGCCTGACATGAATCCCTTTCTCACCGTGCTTTTGCAGAATCAGCTTGGTGTTCTCTGTTGGAATGTTCCTTTGATGAGGTACATGGTGCTTTAAGACACTGGGCTGTTTCTTGGAATGCAGAACATTTTCTTTGGATTTATTTTGACTATTATGATTAGTGGTGTTTAAAGGTATGTGAGCGATTAAAGGTGGTATCCTGGAAATGGGGAAATCAGGGCTTAGAGATGTTCCCTGTAGTAAATAGCCTGTATGACCTTGGTGTAGCTATTTAGTCTCTTCCTGACCCCTCACTGGCTGCTCTTGCTAAAAATATTATTTGATTCTTTATGGTGAGCAGATGAATTGGGAGGAAGTTTGTGACTCAGAATACAAATTTTACCTTTGTTCCTTCCACCACAGCAGTACTTGGAGCCTTTTGGAATAATTTGGTCTCTGCTGTGTAGTAACCTAATTCTGGACGAGTGTAACTCCATGTGCTTCAGTGGCACTATTGAAGATCTTCATGCAATTTCAAGTAGGCTCTGGTCTTTCATTACTGTGCATGCCTCAGTTTCTTTAGTAGCTTCCCTAATAAAGTGAGGATAGTTCTAAATAAGCATCTATAATTCCTCAAAGCATGAAAAAGTAAACAAGTACTTGACTTAATGAAATTTAAAAGTGTCACAGAAATCTAGGGTGAATGGTGCTTTCACCAGTGCTAATTTTGTGAGTAATTAAAAACACAATATGATCTTGTTTGGAAATATTTTTTCCTGCATGGTGAGGGAAAAGGAAAATAAAATAAATTTTATATTCTGTTACAGTTTATCAAAAAAAGACACATAAGGTGGGGGGGGGGGGAAATCATTGTTTCCCTGATGGTGTGGAAGTGAGTTGATATGGAGACCATGTTGAAGGCAGTGATGCCTTGAGGAGCTGGAACAGAGGTTACACACAGTGTTGGGGAGAATAAAATGGGCATTTATTGTGAGGCCTATGAAAGGCCTACAAAAGCCACACCCCAGCAATACACGTGCCACAGTCGTGACCCCTGCCTGGATGGCTCCAAGATGGAAGCAAAGGAGGGCTTGGTCACGAGGTCTCACACCTTTATAGGTTTCAGTCCATTTGCATGCAGGAGTCAACTGTCCAATTAATAGTCTCAAATAGGGAAGTTTCATCCTCCTCGCTTGCTTGTGTGTCCGCCCTCCTCTTTTCACGTTGTTTATGCTTAGGGCTTGAGGTTTAAAGATGCTGTCCTTGAGTCCCCAGCTGGAATCAGACTGTTTTGTCTTCATAACCCAAGCACAACGGAAAAGCACATCCAAGCAGAACAGAAAACTTAAAACTCGGAGGTATCAGCAGTACTACTCTACTTTAAGGGGTAGTTTTATTAATTTTCCTGATTGCTGTTTATGAACAAAATTAAATTTAGAGGTTCATTAAGCTGTGATCCATAATGATGCTATATCATGTTATAACTTTCATACTTATTTAGCAATTGTCATTCCATATTGATGCCTCAGAAGATTGAGATAATGCATCTGCAAAAGAAACCCTCAGTTATTGAGTATTTTCTCTTTAATGACTTTTCATTTTAATCCCAAACTGCATATCCTGAGCATGCTTACCTTAGGAGCAGATTTATAGAGAAACTTGGGTAGCATAAACTTCAGTAATACCTGAAATTTACACCTCCACGTCTGAAAAAGAGATTTGGAGAATTTTACATTGCCTTTAATGCAAATGAGATTGTTTGGGAGTGCCCCAGTGGAATACCAATAGGGACCTTGACGATCAGTTAAAGTAAAAGCAATCATTAGGGAATGTTAAGGGGGAGATTGTGTCTCATATTTTCTTCCTCTGGCATCAGTAATGGGCTCCGGGTGGAATTCACAGCCTCTGACCCCTGCACCTTGATATTCACTTCGGAGAAGACAAACAGCTTGCTCTTCTTTTAAAAGCAGAAAAGCAGAGTCTGCAAGAGTTAGATAGGCTTATGGGCAACTGAATGAAGTGTGAGTCACAAGGGACCAGAGCAGCAATGGGACACATAGAATGGGGAATTTGGCACATAAGGAAGGGGATACCAATCTTTGTGAAGTATGACCTCTGTTCGTTTGGTGTTTTTCTACCTATCCAAAATTAGGGAATACTACATAGCATTAATGCATCTGCTTTGGGCACCTGTAGTGAGTCTTGATTTTTCATGTGGGATATAGCTCATTCCCACACCTGACCCACAGATGTCTCATCAGCATGTAGAAGGATAATCAAATGGATTAAAAGAAATCCTAGCTGATGTCAGACTCTTCACTTATAATGCCTGATCTAGAGCTTGCTGGAGATAAATGATTACAGACATCAGAGGATAAGATCTTGCAAACTTTAACTGTGAAGGACTTAAATAGGCCTGAGATGTAGGTGGGAATGAGATGACTCAATCTTGGAGGTCTTTTCCAGCCTTAATGATTCTATGATTCTGTAGCTCTTTGAAAGGCATTTGAGCCTAGATGGTAACATACAAACCTTAATGCTAATTGCAAAGAGAAAAGATAAGAAATATGTTGGGTCAGACTAGCCAAAGAAGAAAATTTAAGATTTATTTAATTTCTTGGTAGCTGCCACAAACTTGAAAAACAAGCAAATTTCTAGCTTCTGTAGGATTTTTTGGTTTGTTTTCTCAGTGGGCATTTGCAGAGATAGTCTGACTTGCAAAGTAAGGGCTTTGAAACTGGCAAACTTGCTGCATGATTTAACACCTCTGCAGTGATACAGTTCACAACCAACCTCTTTTAAAACAATCTTTTTTTTGTGTTTGAAGTCACATCAGTTTCTTACTAGTTTTTATATTTGTATCATGTGTGGTAGTCAATTACATGTTCCTGGAATGCCCAGAAGTAATTATGAGCAAAATTTTGCTGAGGCTGTATGAACTCAGACATACTAATATACTACAAACTTATCTCATGTTTTAGATAATGGTGCATTTGATTAAAACCCTTAGAGACAGTTTTAATTCCTCTTCACTTGTTTCTTCACATGCAATCATAATTATATAGTGATTCTCTCTTTTAGAGTTTTCTTGTCAGGCTTGTCTGTCATTCTGGTTCTTCATGTGGCTGATGATCCAAGTGTACTATGCATCTTGGGAATGTTTGTGGTTGCATTTAACTTTCCCCTCTGGCAGTTGAAAAGGACAAAGTTGTTTTCCTGTGTTACCATACCTATCAGACCTAGGTATCTCCAGGCATCCAAGATGTAAACGACAGAATGCAGTAAGTTGCCTTTTTACATTTGGAAGAATTAAAAGAGCAAAAACCAAGAAAAGAAGATTCACAGCCCTAACAGTTCTGTAAATTGTCTAATTGCACATATTTATTACACTTCTTAATTTAGTCTTTGAAACATGTAGTTTGTCCTTACACAATTTTTCTTTGTTTCCTTTTGCTTATAAGAGAAAATCACTGCTATAATTGAGTGAGTGCAGCATTGCAAGTACATTGAGAACCATTCTGTTAACAGGATGGGGACAGAATCCTTTATTTAAAAACAAAGAAAAGCAAGGGAAAGTACCATCATGTCAGTTCATTACCGAAGGATAATAGTCTGTCATTTGTTAATGCTCTGACTAGTTTTTTCCATCAAAGCCTCTGTATTGCCCACACATAGCCTCCAGCTCTTCCCAAAAATAATGTCTCAAATTTTTATATGCTAGATGGAAAATATTTTTTTAGAAATGAACGGAAATGGTGAATGAAGATGTTTGTTTCAAAACTGCAATCTGTAGACTTTTCCCCTCAGGTTTCTTTTTCTCTGAAAGATGTTAGTTGCCACTGCCTCTTTTGTGAAGAGGAAGTAATGGAATTTTCCATGTTTTATAACTTGTTTGAATCGTACCAGATCCATGAAGCTTTTGGTTTTGTTTAAGGCCTGCATGCCTCTTGGAAAACAGAGTTTGATTAGGGGGTTTTGCCACCATGTTTTCCTTCTTCCCTTCAATTTTGCTAAATGCTTT